TGTATGGCATGGCACCGGGCCAGGACCCCGTCTCAAACCTTGCAGCCTTGCACCCCACGCCTGTCCCTGTGTTTTGGTGCAGGATCTCGGGCTGTGCCCTGCAGCTGCAGGGGACTCACGCAGCCGCCACGGGGCAAGGACCAGAGAACAAGGACCCTTGCTGAGATCTCCCTCCTCATCCCTGTGGATGCCTCCAAATTAGGGAGGTTATTAACTACAAGCTGCTTTTCCCCCGACTGCTGCTTGCACAAACGATAACCAATTTAAAATGAATTGAGCCGATAACTGCAGTTTTTCTAAAACAGACGATGGCAATACTCGGGTAAGGAGGAGCTATCCCAGCTGCAGCGGGGATAAGAGTTAGACACTGAAATGCCCCTTGGGCCCGAATTTCCAGCTGTCTCTGTTTCCTGGCTAAGTCTGGCCGCTTTCCTCGATCGCATGTGAATTTAGGTGGTAGCAGCCAGGGGCTGCTGAGCAACCTCAGGCCAACGGTGCTGGAGAAGGTGACGATACCTGCTCTGTGTGCAATTATCTGCTATGAATGAGTGATGCTGGAATGACCCTTGCTGATTGCGAGCAAGCAGTGCCTGAAAATATCAATGTATTTATGGAAAAGTGGAAAGAAATAACTCCTGAATGCTTTTTTTTTTTCCCCAAGGGTGGGACCTTGGGGCTGTGTTTGGGGATCTCCCAGTTCCTTAGGGCTAGTGCATGTGGGGATTTCCCATACGGGAAAGGTGTGGGTTGTCCGAGGGCTCCTAAAGGGTAGCTCCTGCCCCAGGATATTTAACCAAATGGTTATTTCATAGATATGCCAAGCTGGTCTGCCGTGCCCGGATCTGATCTGCATATGAAGTTCATCAAATTTTAAAGAACAAATAATTGTCACTGGATGTCTTGTCCTTGTAATATGAGGCGCTTTAGTGAAACGGAAACATAATGAAGATGGATTAAAGCTTAACTGTGTGAAAATGAGTTGAGGAATCTTGAAACCAGGTTCCCATTTGTCTGCCTTTCCAAATCATGGGAGCTATTGATTTCCTTGCGCCAGCAGCAGTGACAGCACGCCACAGTCCCAGCAGAGAGGGTGAGGAGTGACATGTGCCACTGGCTCTCCGGGATGGGGACAGGCCGAATCCTGCACTGCTCCTCAGCCGGCTCCGTTTGCCACGAGGTCCGAGCCCTTGGCGAACACCGCAGGCTGAGCCGAGGAAGAGGCTGGGCGTGACTTCCTCGTGCCAAGGGCGGTGAGCGGCTGGTGCCCAGGCTCTGCCTCGCTGAGGATGGTGGGACCGAGCTTGAGCTCTCCCCTGTGCCCATTGTATTCCCCGGTTTGGCTGCAGCCCCCCAGCCCTGAGTTTCCCTCTGCCAGGAGATGACCCTGGACAGGGTAGTCCCCTTCTTTGCAGCCCACACAAAAGCCTTTAGAATTGAGATTAGATGAGCTGTTGCAAAATCAATTAGTGATAAAACCCTGTGGGCAAAGCGCACAATTGTATCGTTTTATTATGTTGCCATCTGAGCAGTAAAAATACATAGCTATAGACATATAAACCAATCTGAAACACTGGGTCAGAAATCCAGGCTCCTGGTGCTTCCCTCTTAATCTCCTATTAAGTGATACATCTTCTGATTGCTTTTGTCAGCGCTCTCAATTTAATAACTGAACGAACCATCTTCTCCTATTGTTTGCATATAAATAAGTGTTGGATCGATAACATCTTTAAAAGCCCCTGGATTTGAAAAACAAGGGGAGCATGGCTTGGCGGGCAGTTGCAAGAAAATTATGGCTTCACATCTCCAAAAAACAGTGTTTAAAACAAGGAGGGGAGACAAAAAGGAAAACCCCTTCAATGAGATGCTTTCTGCTATTGGAAGGTTGAATCAATGAGGGCTAGATTAGGTTTTAGCTTTTGGTTGCAGATTACCTGGCTGCTGCGTTCCTCCCCGACGCCTGCCTGGCAGAGTTTTGGAGAAACCAGTGCTGCAACTTGGATGCTTTAGTTTTTTGCAGGGGTTTGTTCAAGGAGAGGTGAGCATCATCAGCTGCTGCTGCGGGGCCACCGCGGATAGAGAGGGGCTGGAGGCAGAAGCAGAGGGGTTGCTCGCTTGGGATGGGTTTATCTTTTTATTCCCATCTGCAGCTTCGACCCCAAATAAAGCAGCTCCTCCTTTTTGTTGTGGATGACTTCAAGCTGCCTGATTTCAAGCTGCCTGCACCTCAGAGCATCCCTGGCCAGCTGTGCTCAGGATCCCGGCACGTGCACAGCCTGTCTGGGCAACACCCGCCTCGAGAAGGCTCCTCGCAGCAGGGTGGCTGCACCAAGGAGGGTAAAGCTATTCTGCTGGACATAACTCCCTCTGCAAAGCATCCCTGGGGCTGCAGGGGCAGGCAGGGTGCTCGTGACCTCCGCCGGCTTTGCAAACGGCGCTCGCTCCTCCGCTGCGGTGTCGCGGGTGGTGACACATCTGGCGAGGCAGCTGGCTGCTGAGGGCAGGTGGGGGCAGCCAGAAGGCATCGCTGCCGGCATCTGCCGCTGCCCAGTGAGCCGCGGGGCTGGGGCACTCTGCTCCATCCCTCTCACGCCGGTGGGAAATTCGGCTGTAAAGCCTCAGCGCACCCCGAGGTGGTCCCCGGCTCTCCGGAGCTCCCTGTTAGGGGTCATGGGCTGCTGTTATCCCCCTCCAGGGTCTGCTACATCGTGAATTCTTCCAGCATCGCTGCACGGCAGCAAAAGGTGAGCAGCCCTCACCCAGAACTGCAGCATTTAAAAAAAGGAAAAAAGGTTGGGGGGGGGGATACACAGCCAGGCACCGTGCTCTGTTCAGGGCGTGCGGTTACGGAGGGTTGCGTTCCTGTAATATATTGCACTCAAAAGTCTAGGGGGTGAGATAAGCAATGCCAAGGAGGCCTCCTTCGCAGGCGGCGTGTTCAATCACTCGCTATAAAAAAGCCCCAGTGCCTCCGCTCCTCTGCTTCTCCCTCGCTTCAAAGAACAAAAGGAAATGGGCTTGTTGCTTTGTAGGCGAAGGAAAGGAGGCTCCCGAGACCCTGGGAGAGCGGGCCATGAATTATTCAGTGTAGCTGTCAGTGCAGGAGCGGTGCCGAGACCCGCTTCTGCGGTGACCCCACCATCGGGCCCTGGCCAGGAGCCCCGAATTTGGATGCATGCAGGCGCAGTCCTGCTGGGTCCGGAGGCAGGAGGGTGCCTGGAGAGCTGGGGCTGGGGGCATCGTCCTCCCCCACTCCCCAGGGCACGGCTGCGCTGGTGGTTTGGAGCAAAAGGTGGTTTCTATTCCTGCATCCCCATCCCAGTGGTGAGCCTTGGGCTTCCCACCATTTTTGGTTGCTTTGGACCAAAAAAGGAGGAAAAATCCCTGAGAGGGGGCACGTGTGTGCTGAACGGGGAGGGTGGCGGAGGGCAAGAGCCCCGGCAGCGAATGCGCTCAGGATTGCTCTCCAGCCAGCTCGGTAACAAATTCACTGACACAGGGAACAATTTTTCCCTGACTCTGCCAATTCCTTAACGGCGCTGACTCGAAGGGCCCTGCGGGGAGGGGAACTTGAACTCTGCAAAAAGCTCTCTGCTGAAGCTTTATTTAAGGCTACGTGGGGGATGCTTAAGTATTAAAGGCTGAAAAAATAATGGCTGGGAGTAGGCTGGGCAGTGAGGGCCATAGTACAAGCAGTGGCACCGGCTGTCCTGTGCCCTGTCTGTGCCTCTCTTTGCCTCTAAACTCCTTTGGTGCTCCAGCTAACGGGGCTGTCACCTTGCTGGGGACGGTCACTGCTTGCCCCTCTGTGTCCTAGGCTGGTCTAACCCACAGGTCCCCTTTCCACGGCTTTCGAGACAGCTCCGGGCTTGCGTCTCCAACAGCAGCATCGCATTTTCTCGGCTGGACATCGGCGCCTTGTCAACACAGCCCAAAAGAAAGGACAAGGAGTGAGCATCTGTATTTTTCTCTGTGCTGCTTCTGTTTATTTCTTATTTTTTAATCCCTACTTCTTGACTGTAGAAGTCCTTGTGCTGACACGATATTATTTATTTAGAAAATATGTACAGGAAAGCGCTCGGGTACCGGTCCCACCCTCCAAGGTTGGCCGTGCGTGTCCGGCTGGCAGGAGCGGAGGTGAAAGATGGTTTCTCTGCCTTCGAGTCAGGAGGAGGAGGAGAAAGGAAAGGGCTGAGAAAGATAGAGACTTCAAAGTATGTGAGCAAATATTTACAAGTTCCAAGACAAAAAAAATATATATCTACAGTGTTGTCTGGGGGATACAGGGAGTCAGGCTTGAAGCGAAGCCCGCTCCCAGCTCCATTTGTTATATTGATTTATAAAGACTACAGGAATTGATTTCCATCGGCTGTGCCGGCAGCGGGGTGCACAGCTCCGGTGAGCCCCCGGCTCAGGTGCTGGCAAGGGGCAGCCGGGACCGCTCCAGCCACGGGTTTGTGCTTCTGGGGTTTTTGCAATAGTGTTTTGTCTGCGTACTTAGTTTTTGCAAATGAGGGCCGAATGCTTCTGCGACACCCCCTTGAGCGCCAGGGAAGGGGGATGCTAGCAGGGAGCACGTTTCGGAGTGGCAGGGAGGAAAATATTGCAGTTTGGGATTTCCACTGACTGTTGCTGTTTTAACATGATGTGAACAAAGCAAGGGGGTTTGCTGACACATGGATGGTGCCCAAAAGCTGGCCGGCTCCTGGGACCTGGGAAAGGGACCTGGGCTCCTCTGCAAGGGGCTGTGACAGTGTGGAAGAGCTCAGGGTGCTGTGTTTGCACCAGTGGGCGCAGGGGTGCCCCAGTAAGCGTGCCTGGGGCTGGGGGTCTGCACGTGGGAGTGGGGGGAAGCTACCGCAGTACGTGCACAGCTAACTTCTCGTGCAGGGGAGGGTGTCGGTGCACAAGGGAGTGACTGCATGAAATGAGACTGTGGGTGCGTGGGTGTCTGTCTCGGTCCCAGATCTCAGCAGGTCACCCCAGTCCAAACTGTCCATGGTCTATGCAGGTGACACTTGGCTGGAAGAGACGGAGGAGACCTCAGTCTTGCTGTGGGATACGGCAGAGGAGATGTCTTTGTCCCCAAAGGGGGACGAAGACAGATTGTAGTGATTGTAATGACGAACAGCAGATTGTAGTGATCATGCAATTATGGAACTGAAGAGGAGAGAGAAACGGAGAACGATAGCATTGGGGGCCAGTAGGGACGTGCTGTGGGACCAAGAGCCCCCAACAGCCCCTGAGCTTGCTGCTCCCCCCAGGCTGAGATTCAACCACTTCTGGGAAAGAGCAAGGTGCCTGCGGTGACCCCAGACACGCCAGTAAGCCAAGGGGCAGAGGCTCACCCTGCATGACATGGGGCATCTCACCTGTTTGTTCATGAAGACATAGATGATGGGGTTGTAGAGGGAGAAGAAGGCAGGCACTGACATGAGCGTGGCGGTGAAGTCCACTCCCTTGCTGGTGAAGATCCAGAATGCCACCATGGCATAGGGCGTCCAGGCCAGCATAAACCCCAGCACCATGAGGTTCACCATCCGCGTCACCTCCTTCTCGGCCTTCTGGGTCGTGGCCGACTCCTGCTGCTGGGCAGCTGCCTGCGGGCAGGGAGGGTGGTGAGGGGCACCCCACAGCTTTCTGCCCCGGGATCACCTCCCTTCTCCTGCCCAAGCCGCCCACCCTGTCCCTGTTAGCCTCCCATGCCTCCTCCCGACGTTACCTCTCGAACTTTGCAAATGAGGCACCCGTAGGAGAAGAAAATGACCACGACCGGGATGATGAAGTGGATGACGAACATGTAGAGGACGTAGGACTCGTTGTGGTAGTCAGGGTTGTGGGTGCAGTAGTTGGGGCCGCAGGAACACTGCATCCCCTCCAGCATGTATCTGCCAGCAAGAAAGGTTAGGATCTTCACCAGGACCCTCCCTGGGGAACACGGGAGGGGTTCAACCTGAGGACCAAATTCCCCAAGGATGGGGGATGCTCGAAGAGTGGCATGTGTGTTTTGGGTGAGCTCCTCCCCGGCTTCTCCTCTGCGCCCCGTGCACCCGGCCTCGCTGGCTCTGCAGCGCGTGGCTCCTTCGGGGCCGGCAGCAAGCCGTGCCGACATGTTGCACTTGGGCGCATAGCATCAGTTTGTTGTGACACTCGCTCCCTCCCACGGGGAACGGGCTATTTATTTCCTTCCTACGTGGCTGAGCACTTGCCTGCCGGGAGCCACCTGTTCTCCCTCTGCAGATGGAGGGATGCCGAGCGGGAACGAGAGCCACCAGCTTGACGGGTCCAAGCTCTTGAGGGCTTTGTCCCTGCTGCTGCACGGGGTGGAGGGACGCACAGCCCGTGTCTGGAGGGGCCCTGGCTCAAAGGGATGCAGCTCAGGTCTGCTTGGGAGCCAAGGACCAGCTGCCTGGGCAGGGATCCCAATTCAAGGCTGGAGAGGGACCATCTGGCTGTGCCTCGTTGCAGGTGGATGGTAAAGGGACTTTGCTGCCCCAAAGCCACCTCTTGCACATGCCCAGAGGGCTGGTAGGGGCTTGCTATGACCCCACAGGGCGGTTCTGCAGTGGGGTGTCAGGAGGGTCTGGACCTGCAGCATTAGAGAAATTACCTCCATCTCCTCAGCTCCTCCCTTATGCTCCGCTCCCGGTGGCCTTTGGCTGCTGCATCGGCTCCTGACCAGGGATGTGGGTGCATGCAAGAGCCAGACCTGGGCTTTAGCTGCCCGGAGGACACGCTTGCTGAAGCCTAGTGAGCAGCTTGTGGTGTGAGCAGCCAGCATTGCCTCTGTTATAGTTGGGGGGCATTTGTTGGTTGGGGGCTGAAATGTGCTGTGATGCTGGGAGCAGGACAGATGGGCTCGCGGGGAGAGTAGGGCAGGGGTACTGGGAAAGGTGCTGCAGGGCTCCCAGGAGCAATGCTGGGGTGGCAGCACATCAGCAAGGCCAGGTTTGCCTCCCCAGAGCAGCCTTGCCTGCTGGCCTGGTCATCCAGACACCCTTTATGGTCTGCAGAGGGAAATGGGCTCTTCACAGCACGGGTGAGACGAGCCATGCCTATCGAAGCCCCTCTTTCTCTGCAGAACAGAAGGAGCGTGAAGGGTCATTGCAGCTGGAGACGCTGAGCCTGTCGCTGCCGTTGGTTAGGGGACATCAAGCCATCGTGAGACTGACAGCTGAGGTCCCGTTTCTGTTCTGACTCGCCCCATTGCCCTTCTCGCCTGGAGCCCAGAGAGTTTCACGTCTGAGTCACGAGTGCATCTCCTGTCCCCTGGAGTGTTTGCACAGCAGCCGGGGCTGCCACTGAGCATCCTTCAACTCACCTGGACCAGCCGAAGAGGGGTGGATTGGCACAGGAAAAGGCCATTATCCAGGTAAAAGCGATGCCCATCATGGCGTGGGTTGCGGAGAAGCGGAAGTTTCCCATGGGTTTGCAGACAATGATGTAGCCGTCCATGGCCAAGACAACCAGGGACCACAGGGCGACTTGGCCTGTGGGAGGGAGAGAAAAAGAGACCATACGGTGGTGGTAAGAGCTCCTCTGGGCTTGATCTTCCCTTCATGGTCTCGTGGTCACAGCAAAGAGCAGAGAGGGCCAAGGGGTTGGGGATCAGCAAGGGATAACCAGCATCCTATTCAATAACTGAGAATCTCCCGGCCATAGTGCGCAAAAGGTCTGGGAGCCAAGGGGAGCGTCTGTGCCGATGCTGGTGATGGAGGAGGGGGATCATAATGGTTTTTTAATAATTCAAAAATCAAGGGGGTGAATTCCACCTGGGCGCGAGGAAGCACAATTTCCAGCAAAGATGCCAGATGTGTCCAAACCTGTTGATGCCTTTAAATGTGTATTTCATGAGTCTTCCGGCAGTGCTGGATCAGGGGGAGGTGTACGGGGGAGGCTGTGTGGGTGGGCATGTGTGCACATGTGTTTATAAGGGATAATTAAACTTCAGGGGATTGGGAGTGTTTAGTCGGTGCTGTAAGCCTGCTAATGCCCCCAGCTGTGATAATCTGCTGATAACTACACCCTGTGCTAGGATTCGCTGGAGACCTGCTGCTCATGCAGTGACTGCTTCCCATCAAACTTTCTTCCCTGTGAACAGGAGCCTCCTTGTTCTTTACCAGACACAAACATTGGAAGGGCAAGTAATGCTGCCTGAAAGCCCACAGGCTCACTTGATCAGAAATAGCGCAGGCCCATATGATCTTCTGACCCCGAGACCAAGCCCTTCCTTGGTCCTTGGCTTAGATCAGGACATTTAGCTTTGCTTTTGTCTGCAGAATATCCATCCGTCTCTTTTTTCTTTTTCTTTTTTTTCAGATCAGCATCGTTGCAGGAAATCGTCCCATTTAGGGGAGAAAAAGTGAAGTCCTTGCAGTGGTTATGGATCTCTGCAGCAAGGATTAGCAGTTGTCAGATCCATCACGAGGTGTTGTGTGGGCCCAGGGTGCAAAATGAATTTTCCCTGTTTTGCACGGGGACTTTCTGCAGGGTGAAGCGTTAGCAACTCTCACGTCCCTGAGAAGCGAAATAAGGAAGCTCCCAAGGGCACCCAAATCGGGTGCAACTGGGACAAGAGCTGAGCAATTGCTGCAAAGCCTGGGCCTGGTTTCCCTAGCTTTGTGCAACCCTGAATCCTCCTTTCCCTCCACGCTGCTGCTCTTCTCTTCTGGTTAAGAGCTGCCACATCTTCCTTTTGCCCCGAGATAAGCTGTGACCCCTCTCCTTGTCTTCAACTCCTCCTCCCCATGCCTGTACCCCTTCCGCAGGGTCCCTCTCCCGAGTGGTCCCTCTCCCAAGGGATGTCTCTTCCCTCCCTGAACCCTTCCAAATGCTTCACCTTTTCCCAAGAAAAGGCTTTTGGCTTTTGGCTTGACATTGATTCAAGGGCATGATGTGGTCATCCCTAGCAGGTCTCTCCTAGCCATGCAGACTTGGTGTGAGACCCCCTGAATGCACACGGGGCAGCGTGGCCAGACGAGCCCAGGCTTGATCCTGCAAACAAGGATCCCTTCCCACGTCCATTTCCTTGCAGCTGCCCTGCTAGTTGTGAGATGGGTGCTTCTTGGCATCAAGATCAAACTTGCATAAATCTCTCTTTTTATCCCTGTCTTTAAGCCGCAGGGAAGCAGCGCCTTGCATGGCGAGCTCTGCCCCATGCAACAAGCTGTGACACCACAGCGGCATGCGAGATGGCTTTCTGCATGGGAGGGATGCTGCATGCATCGCAGCCATCCCAATAGCATGATGAAGGGGTGGAATTGGGCTCTTAAAACCCTGAAGAAGCAAGATCACCCACTGCCAAGCCTGGCCCTTAGACCCAAGCTCCCACCGCACAGCCCTTACCTCCCAGCGTGGTGAAGAAGCCCTCCATGGCACAGCCGACGGGTCCGAAGACGAAGTAGCCATTCCAGGCAGCGTAGAAGGTGACCGTGAAGCCAAAGCAGGCCATGAAGAGGTCAGCCACCACCAAGTTGACCAAGATGTAGTTGCGCGGCTGCCGGAGCTTCTTGTGTTTGAAGGTGACCAGGAGGGTGAGGAGGTTGATGGGCAAAGCAATGGAGATGAGGAAAAAGATGTAGCAACACATGACACGGAATTTCCAGGGCTTGGCTAGGTAATACTGGGGGTACTCGAAGGGGCTCTGCACCACCCCTGTCTTGTTGGACATAGGCACATAAAAATTGATACCTTCTGTCCCATTCATCTTGCCAATGTTATGGCAGCTGCTTTGCTTTTAAGGGTTTTTTAAAAATCAAATGCTCTTCTTTTGTAATTAATTTTGCTTCAACCCCAATTAAAAAAAAAAAAAGGGAAGCCCCACCCCCTAATGTGGAACAATACCCAACTAAAGGATCCCCCCTCCCAATCAAAAAAATAAATTAATTAATAAGAACAGTAAATCCCAAGGGGACGGGAGGTGGTGCGCTGCCCCTGCTCCACGTCGAGGGCTGGTAGGGCCCACGTGCCAGGGGAGGTTTTATACCCTTCGGCCACCTCAAGGGAGCGCGGGGGGAGGCTGGATTAGGGGCTCAGCTAACTTTGTATGACAAGGGCAACGGGATTGAGAGGGGCTGATGGTTTAAGCACCCTCTAAGAAGCCAGTTGGCCCCAAAACCTGCATTAAAGCGTATTAATTGCCGTTAAGTGTTCAATATTGTTTAAGGAGTTGGGGAGAGGAAGGGATGGGGTGGGGCGCCCTTTGGAAGAGAGGCAAAGGTGGGAGGAGCAGTGGCGAGCTGGGGAGTGCCTGCTTTGGGTGATCGATGGGGAAATGGGTCTGTGCTCATGTCCACAGTGGGTCACAGCCTTTGGGGTGTCCCTGGGTGGCTGAAGGAATCCATGGGAGTGTTTGGGGACTGGCGAGTGCCCAGCTGTGTTTTACTGACCTTGGGGAGGTCACTGTGGGAAGACTGGGCCTGGCTCTGCAGGTCTGAGCCATTGGCTCGGCTCTGGCTGTTTGGCTGCTCTGTGCTTGGGGTGCCTGGTTCAATGTGGGTGCTGCCTGATATGGATATGCATCCCCATCACAGAGCAAAACCGGGCTCTGCTAACAGGGCCAAGGGCCACCTCTGCGCACGGAGCTGGGCAAAGGCAGGAGGGGAAACCGCTTCCCATCCCAAAGGCTGCAATCTTGGTAAACACAGCCTTTTGAGGGCAGGTCTCCTGCCCGTGTTACACCCTGAATCGTGTGCCCTGGTTGTGCTAGAGTGCAAAGGACTGTGAACTTCCTCCTCCGCCTTGCGTCCTCTCTGGGCTGAAGGATATATGTTATTCAGCTGATCCTCCAAGGATCTCTGGCAGGACGGGAGGGAGCAGACCATCCAGCAGGGATGGATGTGGCACAATCAGCCCTGTGACTCCCTGTCTCCCAGGGAGTTGGTGGTGAGCGTTTCCCTCCCAAGCCTCCTCCCCATCCCAGCAAGTGGGACGCTAATCTGGGTTGCAGCTTTGCAAGGACTGGCAGGGTTTAGGCAGGGTCCTTAAGCCACAGCTCTAAAACCAGCCTGACAAAGTGCCACTACTTGCTGGAGAAGCAGCGCCTGAGTGCCCCGGGGGAGGGAAGGTAAAGCCTCAGCAATACTGATGTCCTGAATTCCCTCCAGAGATAGCGCAGAGAGACCAGCACCAGCCTGTAGCCACACTGGGAGAGCAAGTGGGATGGAAAGAAGCTTCTCCCAGTCTCTCAGCACTCAGTATGGGGTGTGGGATCCCCATCCCACCACACACGAGACTGTGAAACCCTTCTCAGCAGGGTCGGTGCCGGCTTGGAGCACCAATGCTCCATCTCATCCAAGCTCTTTCCCCATTTCTTCCTTCTGGGTCATGGGTGCTCCTTCTCCAGGAGACCTGCCTAAGGCACCTTAGTGAAGCTCTTCCATTAATCTCTGACATCTGGTGGCGTTAATGGCCCTGATCTGTTAATGCGGTAAGCTGTTAGCCTCTTTCTTGCTGCTGCCTTCCACCAAGACAAGGTGGATGGAAAAAGTCAATGCTGTCTTGCTGGATGAATGAGGTCTTCAGCAAGACGAGTGTCTCAGAGCTAGAGGGCAGGAGCGGAAGGCTAAGGGGTGTGGGTGGGATGAATGATGTCCTAATCACTGACCCGCTGATCCATCTGCACAGGTCCGAGAGGAGCAGAACTAGGACGTGGCGAGAGTAAGTGGGTCACATCAGCCTCAGGTGCCCTGGGACAAGGACTCCCCATGGGATGTCTGTGCCTCTCAGAAGGTATCTCACTGCACGTCCTGTGAAACTGCCAGTCATGAAATTCCCAGTCCAGGTCTTCCTTGAGGGGAAGAGTTTCTTGTGGAGAAGTCCCATGGCCTTACTTCTCCTAAAGCTTTCCCTGGAGGTATTTCATGCCTCTCCTGGCCATAGTCAGGCTTCTGGACATACAAAAGTTGGGCACATTTTTGCAGAATTAGTTGAATATTAAAGGAGAACCCAGAAATGCTAATACACATAGACAGATGTGCATCTCAATTCCAATGTGTCCCTCCCAAATTCCATGGTAGAAAGCAACTCTTTTCAGCTAAAAGATTTCACTATGATGGTCCACCTTCAGCAGACTTGGACCTTGCTGTCAGTGCCAGCAGCATCTGAAAGCTCTGGTGCTTCTCCAAGGTTTTGTATATGAACATGGTTATCTCATGGGAAAGTCAATTTTCATCTCCCAGAAAGTAATTTTCACCTCCCATCTCTGTGAGACTTTCTGCCACATCTTTGTGGTGTCCCGTCTTCTCCTAAAGAGTTGTACAAATGAAGCACAGCTATGGGGAGAAGAGGTGAAATGACAGTCTGTTTTGGGTGTATTTTTTGCACGGAGATTTTTTCCTTGATTAGTGCAAACCCTCTCCACTCCCTCTTTCAGGTAAGCTGTGGTGCAACTTTGGCTTCATGCATGTTACGCAGAAACCTTTCGTACAGAGGATTGCCAACAACCTGACCAAGAGGACTTTCACCTGACCTTCAACTAGATCTGGACCAGGACCTTTCCCCTTTTTGGGAGCTGAATATGGAGCAGGTAAGCCTGAGTCACAGCTGTCATGCTAACAGGGGTCTGTCCCTTCCCAGCTGTCCTCATGGACTCAGCTTTCTCCTCCTGTGAGCTGAGGTTGGTGTTTCAGTCGATACCCCGAGGCTGGTGGATTTAGAGCTTTCCGCAGGTCAGCCACAGCCTGAGCAATGCTGAAGGCCTCGAATAAACTCAGCGTAGAAAAATGACGCCGGAAAGGATAGCTGGTTCCTCCAGGACATGTCCTGAATGCAATCTCGGTTCCCTCTGTGTCACAGAAATGGAAAGTGATGGCTTTAATTTGGTGTCTCTTAGCAGGGGAACTTTATGGGCTGTCTCCCAGAGAGCTCTCAATTGTTTTCTATGCTGACTCTATGACAAAGAAGGCAATAGCAAAATTCAGGCCATTTAATGCGAGAGGAGAGTCTTGCTTTCTTTGTGTTTGTCCTTAAGAAAAGGAAGGGTTTTCTTCCTTCTTGCAGGTTTTTTCTGCTTTGCTAAGCTCTTTGAGATGAGATTGTCTCTTATTTGTTGTTTGTCAGCACATTGCGTGACAGAGCCCTGAGCCGCTCTGGGCTTTCACGTTCTGTGTAAAGCAAGAAATGATAATTATAATCAAATAACTAACTTGCACTGAGCTGATACGGTTGGTTCACTGGGCTCGAGCGACAGGCAGAGAAAACCTCGCGGATGTGCCGGGGGAGGTGGGTTTCCCAGAGCGGTGGCAGCCGGGAGCCCCTTGCGGTGCCTCTCCCCATCCCTGTGCAAAGCTCTTCACTGCTGCTTGGGCAAAGGCACAGGAGCGACTTGCCCAAGGGCACACAGGGAATGATTTGCAAAGCAAGGTGTAGAGAAATGCAAAAGCAATACAAATCCGTCACAAAGCAAACATCTGTGCTTAAATTCTGGTGATGGACTAATGCACAGGACCTTGAGCCTTGGCCACAAGCACCAATGCTGAATGCAAAGCGGTGCCAAGCTCGCTTTTGGGCTTTTGGCTGGTTTTTTAATGTGCTGCCCTGAATCTCCCTTCTGGAGGGGCTCGTTCCTCCCTCGTGGGCAGGCACATACTGTGGTGCCTCCCGGTACCCCCAGCTGCCCTGGGAAGACCTTGTTTCCCCATATCAGATAGCAGTCACGCGTGGCTGCTGCGCTGAGCCGCTTACACTGGGCTTGTGAGCTCCCTCACCAGGAAAGGGGTTAAAGCAAGATAAAGCCGGAGTGTTACAGAGACCATATGGAGGGGAAGAAAACCCTTTATCCTGTAATTGGATTCGTTCCCGGCGGCTCCCAGCGGAGGTGAGGCTGAGTGGAGCTGACAGGTCGTGATGGGCGAGGCGCTGCCAGCCGCCCCATCCAAAGCAGGATGTGTGTGCACAAACTTGTAGATCAATCCATTAGAGTGGATCAAATAGATTTAAACGTGTGGCAGGGAGAAGGAGGACACAGATGTATTTACAATTTGGTTCAGTGGGCCGTTCCTCCCTCAGCAGGGATTAACTTGGCCACGGCTGGCAGCTCCAAGGAGGCAGCCGTGCCCTCTGCCAGCAGCCACGACGTGCCGGGGCCAGCTGCCTGCTGCTCCTCTGGGCTTGCACAGCCGCATCCCTCCAGGACAAGGATCTGGTGGTGCAGAGGGACGTTCTTTGTGCCATGCCCTTGCTTCTTTTCTAAAAAATAAGGGTGCTCAGAAGCCTGTCTCCTGTCTTGCTCACAGGCCCCAATGGGCTGCAGCCACGGGCTTTGGGCAGGAGGAATCCCAGCTCCTGTTTATTGTGCAGGTTCCCCGTCACAGCTCCTTCTCCAGGCTCTCCCCACCAGCACAGCCTCACAGCGGGTTGCTGCACCAGAGCCAGAAGGCAGCTGGGAAGTGGGGAGAGCTTCACCATTGCCAACCTCATCTTATTTGCATGGTATTCACAAGCAAGCAGGCCCCTGTCACCTCCCAGGCTTTTCCTCCTGCTGCTGATCCAGGTAACATCCCTACAAGCACTGTAGGATTTCCTTGGAGAGATAGAAACTCTTTGGGACCTGTAATTTTCTTGCCAAGGAGCTGAGCAATCCTGGCTCAGCTGTGAACCTGCACCACTCCGTGTGGTGCTGTCAACGCTTTTAACTAAGTGATAAACCAGGGCTGTAGCAGAGTATGCAGGTTTGCAAGACAGTCTCATCGGCCACGCAGCACCACGGGGCGAGCAGCCAGCACAGCCCAGCAAATCCAAGCAGCACAAGCACATTTCTCTGTATGTTAGCAGCTGCGCAAGGGAGTAAGCCATACTCTGATGAGGGTGATG